TCATGTGTTTATGTTTTGAGGCACCTCGTTTCAAAGAATTTAAAAAGTGCAAAATACCAATTTACCAATACTTTGCACTTTTTTGTTTTTAAATCATTTTTTATCATTTAATTTAATCAATACAAAGTAATGGAAAACGATTTGAAGGAAATTTATGCACTTTTTTCCTGGAAAGATTTTTGTGGATGCTCTCTAGAACATGCGCATTTTTTATTGAAACTATACAGTAGGCCTGTACTAGTATGTGAATTCCAACACATGAAACGAAATAAGTACATTTTTCTTGGAAAGCATTTTGGGGTTGTTTTTTAGAAGTACAGTATTGAGCAAATTTATATTGATACCTACTTGTATAAATGCTAAAAATACATTAAAACAATAAAATTAACACAAAAAAAAACATAACAATAATAATAATAATCAATAACCAATCTATATACACTGTAGTACAAGTTTATAAACATTTAAGCAAAACCATTTAAAAAACCCTGTATAAAAATTACGGTACTATATGTTCATTCAAATGAAAATCTTACATTTTTAACCTATTACAGTACAGGTCTCCCTACAGTAGGTCTAACTAATTAAAGACCCTCCAATCCAATTAAAGAACACTTTTCTGCAGCCCCAAAATGAACATCTATCTTTGAGTTTATCTTCATAATAATAATTGTTCTAATTAAAGACCAAAACTGCTAAAGAACATAAAAACCCAGGTCTTTAAAGCTGAGAAGACCTGTAATTGTTTATCTAAATAAAATCGGTTATCTAGGCAAAAACGGAAAGTATAAAACAAGTATATTTGCCATACTGTCACTTCTCTTATTCTTTTTTTAAATTTTAAAGTAATTTATATTTCTCTCATGGACAATACAATCTAAAACACGTATGCTACTGTAATATGTTTATGTTATTTCAGGAGTCTCTGAAATTAATATGTTTGAAAGCTCTGACCCTTGCTTCTGAAAACAGTATACTGTTATTCTTTAGTTGGGTCTAGTTTCTAGCCAAGCAAATAAAATTCTAAAATTGATGTTTCGCTCTTTAAAACACAACTGGAGTCCAAGGGTCGAATCCCATATATTGGCCCAGGGCCGCATTAACTACAGCCGACTCAAAACGACCGTTCCATTCACAGTATCTAAAGTCCTTTCTGCACGGTTTTTGCGTGAAATGTTATTGTATAGGAATAGAAGTCAAAGTTGATAGCTATCAAGGCGACCTTAGGGACCCAGGTTCAGTTTACGTTCAGATATGAATGCGGGACCTGGGCTGACTTTGAAGTTAGACTACATTTAGTTCAGCTTTGGGCGGGCTTAAAAATTTATTGATTGTTCACCCTTAAAAAAATAGGCTCCCAGCGGGAGTGTGTGTCTACTGTCTTATACAGGAGTTTTTTTTTAAATTTTGTTATCTTATGTTCTTCAATATGCAGATGTGTGTATTATTGTAGTGTATCTGGATTTTTCATGAAAATTTTCTTTCATAACAATATTCTGTATAGGCCTACTATATATTACACAAAAAAAACTTTTAAAATGAGTAACTCTTTGAGTTAGCACGTTATGTCGTTGAACACGAAGAGTACTACCAACCATGTTCTAGAGGGCGTCCTTCAAATGAGGTAAAAGATGCTACGTCTCTATAACGTGTGTTCAAGTTTCAAATGCAATTTTGTTCGAGTTCCGAAGGCTATTCGATTGTTAATAGAATGCCCCCCCCCCCCACCTCGTGGTAGTAGTATCCATCATGCCTAAACTGGATTTACCCTTTTCCGCCATCTTTAATTGCTACATCATGACAGTGTCTACGCCCCCGTTGGGGGCAGTAGACACAAAAAGGTGGTCCCAAAGCGGTACTAAGTGAGTGATTGGCTCTAAGTAGCTAACTGTTAAAATAAAAAACAATATTATACTTCAAAATTGAACAGCAATTTTACTAATGTATAGCAAGGGACCTTCTCTATTTGTATTCATAGCATTTAAGTAATAAAAAAATATATAAATATTTATTCCTAATGAAATGCTTAGAAAGAAAATTCTACAATGACAATAAGCAGTTAATCAACAAAAATAATAAACCCCTGCTACTAAAGAAACATTTAGAAGAATCAGTTTTTTGCTGAATCAACAATCAAATTGATTATTTTACAAACTGCTAGTTTAAGTTGGAAAATCGTATGTGTATGACTTCAACTGAGTTGAAATCAACAACGGTGGCCAGGTCTTAATTAATTATCTAAATTCCCATTAGAACATCAACGTTACAACTCAATTGAAACCTGGACTGACTCATTCGTACACCAGAGATTAGTTGTGAGCTATCAGCAACGGTCCTTGATTAATAAGTTTTGATGCGGTAATACTGTAGGTAAAAAGTAAAATAATGGAAAAAAATTAGTCACTTTTTTACATGTATGTGTTTTAATCCTGGAAGTCATAACTACTATATTTTAAATTGAATTTTGAGTTAATGAAAGACAGAAAATAATAAAGTTTCTACTTCTCTTTATGAACTTTAATATATAAATTTTCATTATAATTTATTGTTTCAATGTGAAAGATTTTATCTTTTGAAATTGAACCATCCATTTCTGCTTTGTTAAAAATGTTACAATTTCAAATAAAGTTTGGTAGACAGGGGTTAATCTCATGCGAGACAACAGATTTTCCCAGAAATCCGTAGTTTTCCGAAAAGGAAGCAATAAATATTTTGCAAATCAACCAATCTCTTGTAAAGAATGAGGAATGATTTCAAGTTTTTACTAAGTTTTCAACTACAGATTGTACACAAGGCCAACTAAAAAAAAAATTAGTTTCTCGTCCTAATATTTTGAAAAGGGGAGAATGAGGGCACTTTTTTTTCCTCTGAGATGACAAATCCAAGATGGTCGATGAAAAACAGTTACTACTTCCTCACATTTACTGAGTAAACAAATTGAAAGCAAATAAAAGAAGCACTAGACATGATTCATACAATATAGTATGTATCCCCAACCACGAACGATCAAGAGAGGAATTTTACTGATGCGAGTTAGCCAGATTTTCGCACATTTTGTAAAATAAAGGAAATAAAAAGAAAAAAAAAAGTAAGTAAAAACTTTGGTGAGAAAGAGAAAATGGATGAGCGAGGGGATGAGAAACTATAATTTTTTTATTTGACCTGAAATTAAAATTAAATGTGTTGAGAAAGCATTAAATCAGATATCCCTGAAGTAGCATTTGTATCCCTGTACACCATTATTTTGACATAAATAACAATCACTATTCAATATTAATACCAATAACAATATAATTCTATAGCAGTCATGTTTTACCCTACCTGACGTGTTATCGTACCCAATACTCAGTACGTTCCCAAATGCTAGCGAAAACATTTTGCAAGTGATTCAGGTGGGAAACAAACAAAACCCACAACCTGCAGATAACTATCTTGGCGCCATAACCATTAGACTACCAAGCTTGCTCTTAGTGTTTAGTGTCGTATCCAATCCCCAAGTAGCAGTGGGTACTGCGAATGCTATTTCGATTTGCAAGTGATATTCATAATGATAATGTAAGTCTCATATAGTTTGTAGATGCAAAGGCCTCCATGCACTTATACATTATTATTAGTCCGGTCAGTAGTTGAAAGACCTACAGTACACTATGATTCTACGAAAAATCAGCTCCCTAGGAAATTAATTCTGAAATAAAGTGCTTAGCTGGTAATCAGTAAATTGGGTGAAGAAAGATAACATAGATAAAGCGAGTGTGCATATTAAGTAAAAGGATGCAAAGAAGTGGTCATCCATGAACTTGCTTATCTATAAAATTTAAAGTAATATTTGCTATTATGTGTAGGGGCCTATTTGCTAATTGTGTATGATCAGTTGAGTGCAACACAGCATAAATAAATAGATAATAAAAACATAAACTAAATTTCAAACTACTGTATGTCGGATAAACCTATGAGGCATTGCTGGCAATGAACTGTTTCTGTATCAAAGTCTGTGGATTCAAGTCTACTGTCCAAGGAGTTACCAAGAAATTGAGACAGCCTCTTGCAATTCCGCAATGAAAGCAAAAATCTCTTAGAAACTTACTAGTATTTTATAAATTGTCTGCCGGAAGTCAGTTTCACGCATCAAAATAAAGTTAGATGTGTTTATTTATTTTTATTTATTTACCACTTTTAAAGAGTGTGACCTATCCATTTCCTGCAGGAACTGATCATAAGGGCCCTATATAAAACATAGTATATTAAATATTCAATAGACAGGAAGCTCATTAACCAGACCTCACAGAAGTGGCTTCTTCTAAAACTTGGGACCTCTGCGTCAACCTTCAAAAAGGTTATTGTTATTGTTATTTGTCTTAACATACTTTTTTCATAAATACAAAGTCTGATGCATTTTAATGACTTGCCTGGTGACAATAAATGATATCTTAATCTGAATCTGATCCATAAGTACTACATAGTATTTATTTTTCGCGCCGCACCTTTAGGCTGTAACGATCAAGAGGAAATAGTCATTAAGAAACTGTAGGTAGTGGTAGATTTTACTAAGAAGAAATGGAAATGCAAAAAGTGGTTGGGAAAACACGTACTTGGCCGAGGCAATAGAAAGTACTGTCACATTGCCAGCTACGAGTTTACTCGTCCTTATATATTTTCCAGCCAATTTATTACACAGAACATTTTGATATGTGACTTGATAACATTTCAAGAAAGTATGTTTGTACATTGTGCATTGTTTTGGCACACAAGACAAAACCTAAAAAAAGGTCTGGCAGTCAATGTGTAAAACATGCTTGAAATTAAAAAAAATAAAGGTGGCTTCTTCCAACTTTAGACCACTGTATCTAGAAAAGGCTAAAACACTTCTCTGATGATGACATAATTAATGTCGAAATATTGAATCCCGACCTGATGGTGTGCATTTCGATACTTGGAGTACAGTGTGTATTATACTATCTTATCTGAGTTTAATCAGTGGACCTTTCGGCTAAAACACTTACTTTGAGTTTCTAGAATCTGGTACATCTCTACTTATTGGTGTTTTATCACTTTCTACTTGATTGAATTTATTCCTTATATAAGCATCACCGCCCGGTTTTACTTTGGTTTTTGCTATATACGTCTGTACATCGAAGTTCCTCCAGTCGTTGTCACTGTGAAGTAATTTCCCATGCTCTTTTACATGATCACCTAATGGTAAGCTGTAATCCTGAAAAAAAAAATATTTTAATGAATATAATTTTAAAAAGTATCTAAACACTGACATTTAAATCATGAAATTATTCACTCTATAACATTACAAAATCGTGCAAATTTTACAAAACTTCTACATGTATTCTAAATCACAGAGCAGTTTCAAATACTTTATTACATTATTTATATAAATAATATATATTCATTAGAGTGCACTTCATAAACAAATGAGTTTACTATATTATGCCTATGAGACCATTAATGTCAAGGTCCACGGCCCAGCTATGCATACAATACTTTGTGTTTTACTGAAAGGTATCTAAAGGTTTGAATTTACATTTATCTATGCATTATAAGAATATAACACTTTGATCCAGTCAACTCAATGTTCATAAAGCCACACACATGTGATGAGTTCTACCACACTGCTGTAAAGTATACCAAATTGCTAAATTTTTTCTTGAATCAGCATGTAAAGCATCGCACAGCATGGGTTTTAGTTGGAATATCCAACAATTTTTGTGACTAATTTGGTGTATTATTTATAAGCTTAAACTCAGTCGGCTGATCTGGTGGTAGCCACTATGCGTGTGCTGAACCATGGTGATCTCTTGGTCACCGGTTCAACTTCAATTGCTGCTCTCCATGTATTTCAGCTGAAGGGCTGGAATGCAAATTATGATACTGTAGCGCACTGTCTTTAGGATGAGACAGTTTAAGCCGTTAGTCCTATGTGCATTGTGGCCCATGTGCATGTTAATAAACGCAGTACACTCTTCGGAAAAGAATAATGGGATTATCTCCTGGTATCACGATCCCACTGAAAATATGTCTTCTTCAGACTTTCGTGGGTTATCCTTACTGTAGTGTTTAAACTGAATAAATCCATCCATTCATCCATACATCACTATTAAAATATTTTCAAATATTGGACAATAATACACCTGTAGCCCGAAGCTATAATCATCTTGATTACAACATTCATAATGTTTCATGTTTATTCATGTTAAAAAGCTTGAAGAATAAATTCATAGCCATTATAAATTAATGAATATTTTAAAGCTTAATAGAACATATAAACAAGGGGCGGATGCACTTAAATCTTGTAAATATGTAAATCATATTGGCACGTTCGCATAATAATTTAATATTAGACAATTCCCGGAATAAGGCTAAAGAATCTGGTGAATTATTGTTATCATCAAAAAAAAAAGAAAAATCTGGTTACTGAATGCCTATGACCTCACCAAACATCTGATGATGTCATGATTGCTGGGGTTTGACAGTATCCAGTCAGTTGCCAATAAATTGTGATACAATTAGAAAAGTTCTGAGTAAACAGTTTTATATATTAGGTTTTTACAAGAACAAAATATCAGTCATAATAATAGTTAACAAGAAAATAAAATGCTAAAAGATGATTTATAAAGTAGATACACACTACAGGCATACATTATGTAGTGTTCAAATTAGTTATTCTTAGCATTACATTCAGTACAGCCAGGCTTCTCTTCTAGCACCTATCACGCCTTGAGGTACTCTCCTGACAGCTGAAAATGCTCCTCAGAAGCCCATTGAATTTGACATTTGACTGTGTCATCCTCTTACTATTCTGCTTGCCACAGACTGCTGCAAATTCTATACTGAGGGTTTAACCATCTTCAAATTTACATCCATAAAGCAAATGCAGACGTGCTTAAAATAATCTGAAGTTCAACAGCATCACACACGACCGATCAACTGGCTCAACTAAAGTGTTTTGTCTAATGATCATCCAGATCAAATCCTGATTGCTCTTTACCCCTCAGTTAACCTTAAAAACTCTTTTTACCTAAAACGTAAAAAGCAAGATTTAGAGCCTAATAGTCACATATTACCATGATTAAGCCACATTAATGGTAGACACCTACAGTACTAACAACATTGAACAATGGAAACAATATTTCTTGTCTCACCTTGTGCCAATACACTACCAATTTGCAAAAAAAAAAAGAAAAAAAAAACATTTTTTGTAAGACTCATTTGCAAACCATCTTTTTCATTCAATTTTTTTTATTCTGTTTCCATTTTTATCCTCTTTTCCTTTAGATTGAGACTGTTACTATATTAAGTGAATATTTTATTAATTTTAATCATTTATTCATAATTAATTGAAATGACCCTTAAGTTTGATGTTGCAGGAATTTTGTACCTAAAAAATACCTACTTGTATTTGTAACACCTCATGTATAACTCTACTTTATGCCTAACATTACGTACTGTGCCATGGTATGATTTGAACATTCGAATGAGTAGTTTGCTGACTTTTACAAATAATTACTCTAAAAAAAAACCCAATCAAACACTGGCTTTTAATTACACATGCTGTTCTGGAAAATTACCTTTGTAGTCCACCAGAAATACGGATTTGACTGGACAAAATTGCAACAAAACGTTTTATGATCTAAATATAAACTTAATTATATGTAAAACAACATGCTAAAAGTTTACCAAAATAGGACGTACATAAAGGTGTTTTTTATAACCAAAAGTTCAGCACTATTTGGAAGTAGACTTTTACACGGTACGTACTGCGGTTTTCAAACTTTTCTTGATTATGATTGGTCAACATTTAGGTCAATGTAGGTCATATCTGTTTGTTGCCGGAAAGAGTGAGACCCGAGTGCGAGCTTCGCGATCGCGAGATTTGGTGTGCGAATCAGAGATAGGCCTATATTTCTCCCAGGTTACAGGAATTACAGAGCTGTAAATATTGGAAATTAACTGGAATCATGCCTGAGCAGTTCAATGTATGACCAAGACAAATTTTATTGTAAAGTCTAGGCCTGAGGCCTTGTAATAACATTTCATTTTTAGGCCCTAGCCTAGGCATTGCTATCTTGCTTCCCGGTTCAGTCTCGCGCACACCTTGAAGTGTGTCACTTTCCCCGCACTGCAACGTTTTCTCGGCTAACGCACGCATGAACGTATAGAGAAAATCTTAGTAACGTAGGCCTAGGACTATTTTCAATGTAATCTCATCAGTAAGTATCTAGGTGTCACAATGGAACCAGAAATGCATCGGCCTACTGATGTAGAACTACTACTTTATTTATTGTTGAGTACCGTTTTTTTTTTTTTCATTGTACAGTATCGCAAAAACTAGAGCAGTCTCAAAATAAAAAATCCTTCAACTTATATTTTGACGCCTTTTGAATTTATATTTAGGATTAAAATCTGTATCATAACATAGGGCCTACTAATTATTGAGTCGTTTACTCTGTTCATGATACATGCATCCAATAGAAAGCTCAATATCAAAAAAAAGAATATTGGTCATTGATTTCGCATCACGAAAATGGGAACATAACATAACTGTTGTAGTTTTGATTACATTACTGCTGATGATAAATGAATTTTGCATTGAAAATTATTAACATAAATTAGTTCTACTGTAATTAAGGGTAATAAGGGTACAATTTCACGCTTCGGTTTGTGTCCCTTGAATATTGGTAGGCCTACCCTTATCTTATTGAGAAGTCCCAAAAGGGCCCCTGATTAGGGGTTCTACTTTATATCGGAGTACTGTAGTGTCTTCCAACAACAATATAATTTGATAAACATACTTTATTAAAGAAAATAATTATCTAAAACAGCTTTTCAATTTAATTTTCGGCCTCCTACAGGTGCAGTAATCATACATTTTCTTAGCTCTACTTCAGCCGTACGTGGTTGGGACTGAGGTAAAAAAGAAATATAAAATAGTACCTAGATGGGAAAAGACACTTTTATATACTATAGTAAAATTCATCATCATCACATCACCAGGCAAAATGAAGCTTCAACAAATTTCTCATGATTAGCGATTTTCGGCAACCATATAGATCTAATTAATACTGTATATGTGATGTAAAATTAATTATCATTGATCATATGTTTCTTTGTTATTTATGTACTTTGGTTCCATGGGAAAAACTAATTTCATATTTTAATTTGACAATAAAGCTATCTTGTATCTTGTCTCTTGTATCTAATATGAATCGCTGCGATAGAAATATAAAACATAATCGTCTTCGATTTATCTACTTTACCAGTTCATGAGCCGAAAACCAATTTATCTTTACACACTTTTTCTCATACTTGTATAATAAAGGCACACGCACTCGAGTCGTGTATTACAGTTAATTCAGATGTTTGTGAACAGAAAACACCGGTATCTTGTTATAAAGTAAGATGTTCTCTGCCTGTACAGTGGTCTTTCTTTAAAATCTCGTCATTTATGCTGTTCAATTCAACAATTTCCAGGTATATTCTTGACTTCCTTTAGGAATTTACCTTGCGGACGAAACGTGATGGGGACCACCCCCTTAAAATAGTTGGGGTATGTGTCGCCTGCCACCCCCGTCCATGCTATTTACCATAAGACAAGGCATTATAAAGTAGTTCGGCATCGAATCCTGAATTTACGTGATTTCCAACATTTTCTTTATATGAAGAGAGTAGAATAGTTGGCCTATATTACAAATAAATCAATTATCAGTCGTTATTATATTTTTTTAAATATCAGCAATTATTTTACAATATTTGCCAATAAATTTGTTTTACTGTATTGGCTATAAAATTTTATAGCACACACTGGGCAGGCCTCACCATTTGTCAATTAATCGTACCTATCATTGTATTTAAAATTAAAATTAAATTATTGTCGTAGAACCATCTACCCTGAAATTAAATATTAGAGGTTACTAAAAATTTCAGTTTTACTTCCGTGTTTACATTCTGGGACGTGACGTACGTACGAACTTGCGTACGTACGTACGTGTTGTGTAAAGGAGTGCGCGCAGACTGTTGAAGGTATTTTAACCAATCAAAAGCGTCAGCGGGAAATCAAATTAAAGCGCTTCGTAACCAAGGCACAGCACACACATCCTAGGCAGGGCGTATAAGCCCAGTGAAATAGTTCAGTTTTCTTTGCTATAAAAATCACCTTTCCCGTGGGTATATTTTGGTAAACTTTTTGTATGTTATAGATATAAA